AAAAAATATATATATTTACCTTTTTTATTATTCTTATTTGAAAATAAAAAATCTGTAGTCTTGTCTGGTGAAAATAACTTAGAATTTCCATTTTCCTGTATTTAAAAAAATTTTATGGTATAAAAACTATTAATAACTACAAATAAATTTATTAAATCCATTAAACCATATTCCCCAAAAAACATAGACCATAAATTAATTATTATGAAAGAATGAATGCTTAAAATTTAAGATTTGTATAATAACTTGCAAAAACTTTCTCAGTTATAGCTTGTACAATTATTTTTGAAATTAAATAATATATTTATTATAAACAAAGTAAGTAAAAGTATTCACGTTCAATCTTAAAAATAAAACTGAAAAACTTTTATCATGCTATTCATGAGTTTGGCCAGCCCATAATAAGGTAGTCAGGTGACAAGAAATAAGGAACAATATAACCAAATTGACAAACTTGTGAATATTTCAAAGTCAACCATGAATCCATGAATCCTCCAAAATGGTATCTTTACTACCCATGCTATCCAGTTATAATGCCCCTCCCCTTTTATTTAAGAAATCTGTTTCCTGTTAAACGGCTTCTACTGTACTATTTTAGATGCAATTTTTTTGTTTTTACAGTAGAACCTCGATTATCCGGACCTCTATTATCCGGATTTTCGATTATCCGGATTGTTCAAAATAAACAAAAATTTTACGAATTTGCCGATTTGCACTTGGTGAATTACGACACTGTTTATGTACGTGATGGAATGCATAACATTTTTTGTTTCAACAACATCTCACCCGGCACAGTGGTCGTAAACTCTTAAATATATTTTGCGTCGTAATAAAAATATAACTTGACATACGTATTTATAAATAATTTATATTCAAATTACATCATTTCTGTGACCAAGGGCATCATTTCTGTGACCAAGGGCAGCGTAAGGCATGGGCAACGTGGGCCATTGCCTATGTCTTTGATCTCAGAAATAGGATATGGGTCACACCCTATATATCATATCCATTTAATAATGCATGTTTAAACATTATATTTGCAATAACTGTTTTTAAGATACACAACACAACAGATGGTAATGTAAAAAGGTAAATTAATTAAAAAATATGGGGGTACTAGATATTTTTTAATCTCAAAGTGGGCAGTGGTCGAAATAAGTTTGAGAACCTATGATGTAGACAAAGAACAGACTTTCTGAAATTTCTCCCGCAGAGGAGAGGGAGAGGGTAAAGTATTACCCAGAATTTAGCTTCTACTGTACTATTTTAAATGTGGCTTTTTTTGTGAGAAATCAAACATGTTTTCAGACCCATCTAAAAATTCTCTAATTAGTCTGGGAAGAGGATGAACCTAATTCTTGCACCTGGTAAAAATGGGTAAGATTGGCTATAATCTAATAATCTTAATTTTCACTATTGTTACTTTTTGCCCTAGCAATGCCGGGCTCATCTGCTAGTTTTATGATAATACAATTTTGCACTGCAAGGTATAGAAGTGATAATTAACAAATATATATTAATAACCTACTTATTGAATTATATTGATCTGATTAATAATTTTGTTATCAATTACAATAATTTAGCATTATAAATAGTAATATTAATAAACTGTAATACAATTAGGAACTCAATTATACAATTTTAAATTATTCATTTATATTTGAAATAAAGAGTGAAATACTGATAATGACAATTATAGGCATTAGCTATAATATACTGTATATATAATATATTATTAGCTATATAATAATTTTATTTATATTTTTTTTTATTAATTAACATGTTATGAAATTATTATTACAAAATCTCTTAATTTTTTTAACAATAATTTTATTTAATATGTAATAAAATTATTATGTAACTCAAGTCCATTTTCTCATAAAATTAATTAAATTATATGACTTAAATTTTATTTATATTTAAACAAGATATTAATACAACCTGTTGCTCTTGAAACCATTTTTCTCTTTCATATCTCTTTATTCTCCAGATTTCATTACTTTCTTCGAATCCATCATCTTCGCCACTGCTCTGATCAGAATTTTCTATTGCAAGATTGTCATCTATAACAAGTAAAAATAATTTTAAAAGACTATCTTTTTTTTTCTTGTAAGTTGATTTAGTTAAATTGATAAATTTATCATCTGATCACTTCCATTGGGAGTCTGCTAGATCTGTAGTGAATATGAAAACAAAAGTTCTCTTAGTATCTACAGAATGATATTATCAAAAAGAACTTATAAGATCTATTATGCATTATTATAAAGATTGATTCTAAGAGTTTAAAAACAAAGAAAAGTGACAGACATGCTAGTATTCAAAAATCAAAAAACTCAAGTAAGCAAGCCTGTTAGAATAGTATAGGAAATATTCCTAAGAGGCAGGAAAACCTTTGCAAGACTTCAAAAACATAAAAAGGCTGAAAAGATGAGAAAATATAAGTTTACAAATCCTTATACAAGTGGGAAAAAAGTCAAATGCAAAAAAAATAAAAAAAAAAAAAAAAGAGATGAAAATTCCATTTTATTTTCTGAAACAATCTATGTTCAAAATGTTGCCATGCTTTATCAGAAGTTTTCCTACAAAAATTGAAATGACTGTAATAGATTGAATATGTTTTCTAAAGTTGTAAAAACAAAGAAATACCAAAATCAAGTTTGCAAAAGAGTTAGAAGCACCATGAAAATCATTTTGTGGTGCTTATGCAAAATAAAAAATTATCCATTATAAAAGTTGTAAGTTTTTTATTAAAAGTTTTCAATGTAAGTGCTCTTACAATAAATAATCAAATAAAACCTTAAAAAGATTAATGATGTCACTTTGAAAAGCTGCAAGTTGCTATCTGCTGCTTTGTTGGTTTGAAACTTTGGCTTAGCCATTGTGTACGGGAAGATAAATTTGTGTGAATTTATCTTCACACAAATTTAGCTTTTTAAAATTTAATTTCATCTGTAAAAATTATTTACACAATATTAAAAGAAAAATTGACCTATATTCTTCCAACGAAACTTTCTTTGTCTTCCTTGACCATCGCTATGCAAATCTCCATCAGGTAAGTAACGCTCTTGTAACAACAATAATTCTCGATTATCTTCGTCCAAAACTGCTTTACTAAAAAGAAGTTAAGTATTGTTTGAGATTATTGAAAAATCACTTGATAAAAATCATTCAAATGATAAAAACAACATACTGGTGTAGTCGTTCCACTTGATTTTTCAATTCTTCTTCTGATAAATTCTCATCAGAGAGCAAGTTAACTTCCTCAAATTCATCATTGTCATCCTCATCATCCTCTTCTTTCTCATCTTCACTAGCATCACTTCCTGATAATTCTGCTTCATCTTCAATAAATTCCTTTCTAATTCCACCACTAAATAAAGGTATAAATATCTATATCAATAAATTTTCTGAAAATTTAAAAAATTAATATCTTTATTGTAAAGTATGAAAAAATATTAAAAAACTAATTTTTATTGAAAATGCAACCTTTTAGAATCCAGAAAACCAGTAAATTTTTCTGTGGTATCTTCTTCCATTTCTTTTGTACTCAATTTATCATCATCATCATCATCATCAGAATCTTCTTCTTTATTTGAATAATCATTTAAGTCACCTTTGTTTATGCTGAAGGATTTTTCAGATCCAGAATCATCAACCACTAATTTATTCCAATGCTTTTTCTTTTTTCTCTTATAATTAATTTCCACTGATGAATCACTATCCTCACTTTCACATATATCTTTACGAGAATTATTTCTACAGAAATAAAAAAACATTATAAAAAATTTTACCTTTTTACCAAATTGTTTCAAAAAATACCTTACCTATTTTCAAATTTTCCAGAACAGAGAGCTAATAATTCTTGCATATTTTGTGAATTTGTTTGTGAAGCATCAGTTTCTTTTGTATTCAGCATTCCTTCAAAAGTATCTAAAACATATATATATATATATATTTTTTTTTAATTTTAAAATTTATTATTTTNAGCCAATCCACGGAAGAGTTTCAAAACTACTGACATCGCCAGATCTGCGTCTCCATGACAACGTCCGTTGGTCATTTGAAAACAGGAAAAGCGCAGGAAATCGTACATCCTGATGATTTATCTCGACAATCATATTGCAGTGAAGTATTAACAAATTGCCTGTTGTGGTTTTCTAATTAATTCTACTACCTAGTAATTTAGCTCTTGAATAGTATTATTTTTATTGTCCATTGTAAATATCAGATTTTTCCTAATGTTAACAACAAAAATCTTTACTTTCTTAAATGCATATTTTATGAAAAAGCATAAAGAATTTTCTCAAAATATATGAAAATTTATTATTTTCCTAAGAAGCTATACAAAGACTTACCAGGAAAACTACCAGAGCACAGTGATAATATATCATTTTTTTTAATAGGCAAGGAATTGCCATCCAAAATATCTTGAAGACCATTAGGAATTCTCCCTTTATTTGTTAAGCTGAATGCAATTTAAGAATTAAAAAAAAAAACTTTTTTTAATGTTAAAAGATAAAGTATGCAATGTCAGATTGCTCATAACTTATTTAAAACTTTTATCCTATCATAACTTACATCATTATATTTTTAAACTTTTTCTTTGTAAGTATTATGATACATTTGCTTAACTTATATCACTATGATGTAAACTATCAAATGTTATACAGGGCGGGGCAAATAAAAGTGGCCCAGAGAACCGAGTTCCAGGGTACAAAGAAACACAGCAGAGGAAAAGAAATACAGTACTAACCTGACTATAGCATATGTTGAAAGTGACCACCATTCATCTCTTGGCACCTTTGGGCCCTGGTCAGCAAGTTGCTGAAAGTGGATCAAAGCTGGACTGCTGGAATTGCTGCTATCTCATCCGAAATGTTGTGCTGCAGTTCTTGAAGACTATGAGGGTTGTTGTGATACACCTTAGACTTGAGGGCTCCCCACACAAAGTAATCGCACACTGACAGATCAGGTGACCTGGGTGGCCAGCTAGGGCCGTGATCAGACTGACCTCTGCTAACAACTCTGTCAGGTGTGAAGATTGTGTAAATGTGCTCCAAGGTTTGGCAGGCTGTATAGGCAGTTACTCCATTCTGTTGGAAGTAACTGTAGGTCTTTTCCTCCTCCATTAATGCTGCCACAAATGGTTTCAAATGTTGGCAATGTAATGTGCCAAAGTTAGCGTCTGATGAAAGAAGATGGGACCAATAATGCGATGTGCCCAATAATACAGGACCCAAAGATGCCAAGAGATGAATGGTGGTCACTTTCAACATCTGCTATAATCAGGTTAGTACTGTATTTCTTTTCCTCTGCTGTGTTTCTTTGTACCCTGGAACTCGGTTCTCTGGGCTACTTTTATTTGCCCCACCCTGTATTATGCGTATAATACATAATATCATACTTTATTATAATTATAAAATACTGTGTGCAAATGTTAAAAATTAGTTATTTAAAGTAAATAGTTTAACAATAAGTAATTCATAAAATAGTAAAAGTTTTATAATTAGAATTTGAAAGTTTGAAGTTATTTAACATATTTTCTATTACAATATTTAGTTCTGTAAATACCAGAACTAAATATTCCCACATACTTATTTTCATACTGAGATTCTTCGTCTGACAAAGCTAAGTGAGAAAAATCTTCAGCTGAATCAAGACGTAGCATTTCACTTTTTTGTTCACTAGAAGCAGTCACTTCATTTTCTTTTGTCTCTGGATTATCTTCCTAATGTAGAAAAAGTAAAATAAATAAATCGTTATACCAGAACACAGATAGAGTAATAGATATATTGCGAGAATTGCTATTCAGTCAGAATTCTTTTACAAATTTTCAGTCTTGATTAAAATGTAATATAAAAGTAATTTTGATAAAAAAGTAAATTTAATCTTAAGTTATTACAAAATATGATTACTCTATAAATTGATACATATAGTAGAGTATTTTAAACATATAAAAATAATTTATTTACTATAATAATATATTTCTTCCTGGATCTAGATTACTTTTAATATGTATAAGAATATTTGACTATAAACAAAATTTTCAGTTTAATGTTACAAAAATCCATGTAAATAAAACTTTTCAATATAATGATTTATTTTTATTGTTTATCCAACGCAATGTAGTGCAACTTAATGATCACTTGGCTTTCTTTCACCTTTATTCTAGTTTATATTGAAAAGTTTTATTTACATAGTTGATATTCAACTAGAATAAAGGTGAAAAAAAGCCAAGTGATGGTTAAGTTGCACTACATTGTGTAGGATAAACAATAGAAATAGAACACAACAACACGGTTTCAAATTGTCAAACATAATGACTTATTATTATTTTTATTATTTCTTTTAATTTTTTTTTACTTTTGCATACTCGCTTTATCTATATATAATGCTCATTGTTCTCTTCAAGCATTAATTTTTCATTTTTCTTTCTTTTATAAACTAAAAATATCATTCAAATTTAATCATTAGCTACATTCTAAATCAATCTTGAATGTAATAATCTTATAAAAAATAGTTCTTGTTTAACATCAAAGTAAATAATTAAATTATTTGATCTCTATTGATTATTAAGATATTTATAGCAATATGTTTTCTTTAAAAACAAATTTCACTTGAAAAATTTTGTTACATGATAATTTTAACAGAAAAATACATTAAACATTTTCTCAGCCATTTTCATGTCTTAGAACAGAATTCAAAATAGAAATGCCACAGAATGTAAGGTACAGAATAAATTTAAGTATTTAATTGTTAGCATTGGAAAAACTTTTTATATTTTGTCAACAATTAAATATTTAAATTTATCCTGAAGTAGTAAAAACTTTGCATTATTATATTAGTAATATATTTTTTGATAGCACTAAATCACTACAGCTTTAGTTTAATAACTGAATTGATAATTAAATTTTAAAAAAGTACGTCACTCAGATTGAATTTTTTCAAATTCTACTAATATTGCTTTCAATTTTTTATTGTGTAAATCTGAGTAATAAAAATTAAATGCTACCAAATTTGTCTGAATCTTTGATCTATTGTAGTTCTAGTGATCCTGATCAAAAGTTTCCATAGGCACAAAATCAAAACATGACAGTTTTAGAACTATTGAGTCCAAGATGCAAAAACAGCATAATTTGCATATGTTGTGAGACAATATTTTTCATTTCAAAGTATAAAATGATGTTTTCAAATATTGATGTTTGACAATAGATTTATTGGAGTTTATACATATTTCCCATCATATTTGTTATGACAAGAGATAGTGTAAAAAATATCCTTCATGTCTGAACAGTCCATTGTGTTTTCCAGTATTTTCCTCTTCAAATATTCAAGCCATTTGCTATAAAAGAAATGCTTCATAACAAATAACAATAAAAACACTTCTATCTGAGATGAAACTAATTCAGCTTGAACAACACCTTAAATAAGTAGCTATTTACATTTGAAACAATATTTCAAACTTTTTTAAAAAAAACACTAAGAATGTTAATTAAAACTAGAAGATTTGAACTGAAAGTTCAAATCTTCTACTTTATATGTTCAACCTGACACAGATCTAGGAAAAGGATTGAAAATGTTTTGTATGGATCAAAAATGTTGCTGGAAAAAGTATTTAAGATGTTGTTCAAGTAAACTAACATATCTTGATATGGCTTTCAGAAATTGTGATATTTCAAGTTAATATAAGTTCAAGATATATCAAGTTAATAATTATTAATAAGGAATTATCAATTCTTTCCTCCTTTATTCTATCTCACATAGATGAGATCATAAATAATGTAAGATACAGTTAATACAGCCTTTTGAGCAAGTCTTTTGTGAGAAGGGCACTTAGCAACTACATAGCAAAGTGTGATGTACCTATTAACACAGTATGAACCCAAACAGCACAAGAATCAAACTTTCATTATGTAATACATGCATGATTTCCCCAAAGAGAAATACAGATAATATCAAACATCAATAACATTTGAAAACATCATTTTGTATTTTGAAATAAAAGATTTAAGGCTTTGCAACACATGTGCAACTTACATTGTTTTTGCATATCTTGGATGCTTGATAACTCAAAAACTGTACATTCGCTGATCTTGTTCCTATGAAGACTTGATCAGGACCCTAGAGCTACAAAATATCAAAGATTCAGTCAAATCAACAAAGACCCATTTCCCATAAGATTTATATGGAGTCCTTTGAGAAAATTAAGTAAATCTTTATATATTGTATTATATTATTACTGCAATGAAAAAAAGAATACATAACTAAAAGTATCTTAAATGGAGCCCAGAGCCTTTTAATTTATCTTAAAAATAAGAATTTACAGGCAGAAAAAATATAATAATAATATGTAAAAAAGTTAGTAATCTTTAAGAAAATTATAAAAATAATAATGAAATTCCTACCAAAAGTTTATTGTATTGGGAATTTAACAATGAACTTTTGAACCAATCTTCACAATCACTTTCAATATGATGGCGTTGAAAACCATTGTATTTGAATCCACCTCCAGGTTGATAAGGAGGTAAAGATCTACCAAACTCAAAGCTATTATCCATATTTATGGTATTATCATTGTTCTGAATTGGATTTGGTGGATCCATATCTGAAATTTTAAAATATCAAAATTAAAATCTTTCAATGTATAAGTTACAAACATATGTATTGTTATATTACTTAAAAATCAATCTTTATCCATTCAAATTAGTATTAGAAAAATCTGAAACTTATTATTAATGTAATGTTTCATAACCTGAAGTTTCAGTGAATTATACAAAGAATCAAGTAAAATTTAATTAATGTGCATTAATAACAAAGGTTACAATGTTCTGGAATCATAAAATTTAATGTATAACCAAATGATGAATTTTACTAATCATCATTAGGTTATACATTCAAAGTCAGTAACTGAAATGTTTATTTGTTCCTTAAACTGTTTGATGAATATTAAAGGTTTAATCTTAAATTGAGTTATTTAATTTAGCTGTTAATTTTTTCTATATATAAATTTCTAACAAATTAAGTTATCTACTGCATATTCAATACTTAAAATCATTACTTTTGTTTTATTTTAAATATTTAAAATAGTGATTCTTAAATAATAATTCTTCATAAATTCCTACCATGTTCTTTTGGTTTTTCAATTAATTTCTCTTCCTGATCATCTCCAAAATTTGAATATAATGTTCCAGAATCTAAAGGTGTTTCTGCAAAGAAACAAACTTTTGAATAAATTATTATAAGATCTCAAAATGATTCTTCTGAAGTCATAAATTCAAGAGAAGTGCAAATTCAGAAATGGAAATAAATCTGTTTATTAAATTAAGGTTTCAAAAGCAGTAACAACCATTCTAATAATCATCATCTAAATTTGAGTTAATTATTACTTAAGTTTCCAACTATTGAAAATACAAAAAAAATTCTAATTATGAAGTTTTGTAGATTGAGAAAACAACTCTCATCTAAAACTTACAAATTTAAATAGATGAGAAGTAGGTATCTTCTTTTAAAGTAGCTTTACGTAAAGCAAAACTTAATTTTTATACTTACAATGTGACTGTTTACTTTTATTTTCTGCAACAAGCATAACTCTAGTAAAGCCTTGCACTACTGTTATTCAATAAATTGGCTACATATTATACAAGTATAATATACATATTTATAATGTACAGTACATAACAGGATTTTGTTTTATGTAAGGTTAGTTTCACTCAGCAATTTTATATTTGAATTTTTCTCAATCTTTAACATTTAAGGACAGTAATGATTTAATCCCAAAAATTAAGTTAATAGAACTGTCAATTTAATATTTAATTTCATTTCCATTTCAAAATTTATGGTTTTCTTAAAGTGTAACATTCTTTTTAGGTTCAGTAACTTTTTCATATTTAAAATAATAATTTCACCTTCTGTTTCAAGAAATAAATGAAATTCAGGGAATTCTTTTTCCTCTGTGTCTCCATTGCAGGTTGAATTTTCATTTCCAATTTCCAAATCTTTTGTTTTTTCATCAATTTTCAATTGGGTAGAACAAGTTTCTTTAGAGCTGCTCTTACAGTTAATAAGGTCATATAAATCTGGTAAATCATCACTATTATCATTGTAGTCATCGTCACTTTTAAAACAGTTGTCATCATTGTTACCATCTTCATCATTGTCATCATTGTCGTCATCGTCATCACCATCATCATCATCATCTTCAGCTTCATCATCCACAAAAGCAGACTTTTTCTTTTTTCTGTACTTTACACCACTGAGTTCTTGTTCTTCTTCAGAATCTGTACCTTCATCATCTGCTATTTCTTCATCAGTATCTGTCTGATCTGTTAATTCTGCTTCACTTTCATCAGACCTATCATTTTCAAATCCTTCTTCATTTTCAAGTTGATAAGTTTCCATTCTTTTCTTACATAGTATTTCTTTTCTTTCCTCCATCTTGATTTTCAACATTTCTTTTAGTTTCATTAATTTTGCACCTTGATAAATATATCATAAATCATTTTAGAACATAATTATGTTATAAATACCAGACCATTTTATTTGTATATATAAACATTACCTGGCATATCAAGTTCCATCTCTTTTGTATTCTCAAACGCTATTTTATTTTCATTGCTATTAAAAAAGAAATTTTTTTTATTAATTAGATATTTTGTTTTAAATATTAATTTTAAATAAAAGAAGCACTTTAACAAACCTTTTCTTAACATCAGGAATGACTTTCTGAGATTTTTCAGTATGTTTGACAAATTTTTCAATAAAACATTCAAGATTAGATTTTTTGGGTTTCTCTTCTCCAAAATTGATAACAGAATTTGGAGATCCGCTTAGCTGAGGAACGTAAGATCCAAATTTTTCTTTAAGTTTCTTCTTTATCTTTATGATGTGAGAGACACAAACCTCATCCTTGTCTCTCATGTTCATTTCTGAAGAATCTTTGTTACCTTCATTTTTATCAATCAATTCATTCGATTTAACTAAATCATTATCAAATTCCAAATTCTCAGTCGTTTTAGTTACTTTTTCAATTTCTTTATTCTGAATTACTTTGAAATTAATTTCATCAAATTCTGTATCCTTGTTTCTTTCATTAAATATTTTAAGATATTTACTTTGAAGAGGGTTTCTTTTCTCCCTACAAAACAAAATTTGAACAAATAATAAATATGATATAGAATATAAGTGTGTGTGTTTTTTTTAATAAGTTCACTAAGGCAGTACTTCTGTCTTTTTAAAATACAAGTCTTTTATATAAATAAGACACAATATAAATAATCAGTATTAAAATAAATTATAGTTGCATCTTAGTTAAGCCTACAGATATAAGCTTAGGTTGGAAAAATTTGCCAAAATGCAAACATCCTGTGAAATTGGGGAACATTGTCTACCTTGTTTCCGACCAGTTCAGTCACTTGTTACATTCCTGCACGGTTGTGTTGCAGCAGTTTGGTCTCTTTTACCAAACCACTGTTTCAATTTTTATGGATAACCAAAACTGTCCTTAATAAGAACCAAAAAAGAAAATCCATTTTTTATTTCAAAACTCTTTTCAACACTTTATAATGGGTGAAATATTGCAACATCATGAATTAAATTGAAAGATTAACTTGTTCTTTCCACAAAAAAATGGAAATTAATAAAATACATTTAAAATCTTTTTCTGAATTTTCTTGATTAAACAGCTAAATTATCATCATTTTATAGACATATTTTTCTTAATATTTTTTTAAGAAAAATTTGAAAAATAATCAAAATGCATCTATTTTACAATAAATTTTAAAACATCATAAAAATATAATTGTGTTTTCAAAAAAAAAAAATAATAATGAAAAAGTCAGTCAAAAACTCTAAAAAGTTACCTTCTTGCAAAAAATTGGTACATTTTTTAAATAATTTTTCTGAAAAATTTGCACAACTGTTGTCTTTGTAAAGAAATTTTGCATTTTCAGATATTAAAAAGTCTGTTAATTAGCTCTTCAAGCTAAAAATATACTGTAGGTTGTTCAGTGAACTCAATTCTACCTTCATTAATTACTATATTACATAAAGTATATGCTATCTTGTGATAATGATAAATAATTAAATTAGAGCATTCTTTTAATTAAAAAAAATGTTTACATTAATTTATTGGTTTAGTGTTGCATGACAAACTATACAGTAGTCCATTTTAATTATTTGTAGATTTTATTTGAATTTTTAAAACTATGTGGTAATATCAATATGTAACCAGTTCAAACACTGTTATTTTCTAGGAGTTATCGCATCCACAGACTGCAGATCCACTTACCCAGATTCATTTTGGAAATTATATTTCCTCCTCAGTGGGCTTTTTCCATATAAGCTAAACAAGGTACATTTTTTCAATATACTAGTAAACACATAATATTTGGTTTATATAATACAAGCATTATATAAACCTAGAGCACCAACAACAAAGAAAGATAAAATTAATAATATATTTAAAAAGGCAAATGTTATATACAAATTTAATTGTGAATGTAAAGAGCCATCCACTTACATCAGAGAGACAGGGAGAGTTACATGAAAGAATCAAGGGATATGTTAGAGCAAAAGCATGATTATAAGAATTTGAGTGTAACTAAACATTGTGTTGGGAACAGATATCAGATTAATACATTAAGGATTGTTCAATTAGAGAAGAATATGATGTAGAGAAAGTTATATGAACACTTAGGAATAATTAGAAATTAAAAACTTTTAGTATTATTAATGAATGAGAGTGACAGAGTGAATCATGGAATTGGTTTGTGGCTGATGGGGCAGGAGGGGCGATCTTCCAGTTGTTGTAAGAGTGTTGGTGAATGATGTAGAACAGTGTTCCGCAACCTTTTTCTACTTGCGGCACACCCATGACTCAACACGGTACACCAAAATGTTATTCCCTTCAAAAACGTATGATATGATACTATTAATAGAATTACGTAATGCCACTAACCTATTATTATTGTTATTAAACAGACATTAACACCTGTGAGCAATTTTTTTTACATATAATTTCTTAGAATACATAAAAATCCGTGGCTTGTAATAAAGAATAAACAAATATCATCTTATTTCATCAGTGCTGCGGCAGAGAATGAAATATAAACATAAGAAACACAACAACTGTGATAAAAATATATAAATAAAATTTGAAATTAACAGAATATGTAAAAGTTTACGTCACACCTTTCACCATGTGACAGCACATCAGTGTGCCGCGGCACACCGGTTGCGGAACACTGATGTAGAAGACAATAAATGACAGAAATAATGGCAAGGACTGTGTATAATAAATATTGTTAACAAAAAGAACACAAGCATTACAATATTTGATGCTAGAATATGTTAATTTTTTAAGATTTAAAAAAAATTTTTTAAATGTTTTTTAAAAGAGAAAAAATATGATTTTAATATGAAAGTAGTCAAAATAATTGGAATGTTGAAAAATTGAAATAACTTTTTATAATTTAGTAGATATATGATTGTAAATTTAATATAATTATTGTATATTTACTAGTGTATCAAAAAAGTGTTTGTGCCTTGTTTAGCTTGTATGGAAGAAAATCCACTGAGGAGGAAAATATTGCAATTTCCAAAATGCATCTGGGTAAAATAAAGTTGATTGGCTAGTAATTACAGAGTCTGTGGATGTGATAATTCCTAGAAAATAATGGTGTTTGAACTGGTTACAAATTGAGATTAAAAAAATGGAATAGAAGCAAAAGAAAAATCATATGTGGTAATAATTATTAATTAACAAGACTATGTCTTGCTTATAAAATTGTACTGCCCGATGTTCTTATGTTCCAGCATAGAGGTATGAAGGAGTACATGTCAAGAGTTGATATTTGGCACATAGTATTAGATGCCCAAATAAAAAATGCGCATAAAAAAATCCAGACTCGTAGGTAGTCAGGAGACCGAGAATCGAGTCAAAATAAAATACAAAATGGCGACCCTCTTCTACAAACAGGCAAAACAGCCACCTCACCCCACCAAATTCAGGTAGGGGAGAGTACCACACACAGTCATTCTAAGAAGTGAACTCTGACCTTAGGACTAAACATGTAGTTTCTTCTATGTTAAATAAAATTTGTAATCTAATTTTGTAAATTTGGGAGTGCTTCAAATATGAGGTAAAAACGGTTTTATGTCGTTACAAGTGGGTTTTTTTTTAACATTATCTAGTATAGTAAAATCGTAGGACCAATAAAAATTTGATGTTATATTAGGATTGTCATTACATCCAATGACGTTATAATTGGGTTAAACTGTATATTGTTTGTGCAAAATAAAACAATAATTTTGGATGATACAATAGCCACGATTATTTTTTTTTCAAAAACGGGACCTTTTCGTTACACATTGACAAAAATTCAACCCGGGCCTACACACAACAAAGAGAAATTTTGAAATTAGATAGGTTAATTTCATCAAAGATGCATCGTGGATGATCTCATGGTTGTGGCCGGCAAAGTTTGAACGATTGCACCCAAAAGCAGCGATATCAAAGAAGATATCGCTGCCTTAAAGTAAAGATATTCAGATCAAAACTATATACTCTATTTCTTTGATTCTAAGATGCAACATGATTTTGAAGAGAATGAGAACGAGACCTGCCTTGAGCATCAAAGTGATTCTGTCTCTGAGACATAGTCATGTCCCAAATATGGTTTTGCCATTTTACTTGTTTATTCATAAAATGTTTTATTTTGTTTGCTAGTGTGCAATAAATTTCAAATTTCAGGGAAATTTCTGGTTCTGAAAATCTTTTGTACCCCTGCTTATTTCTAACTAAGAATCAACCCAAAGTCTTTAATAGAGAAAAAAAACATAATTTTAACCTATTAAAATATTTTAAAATAAAAACTATAAAACTATTCAATTCTTTTATTTAAGTTAGGAAATCAAAATTGCTTTGAATTGCTTCTGGAGAACCAGTATAAGNAAAAATACGTACAATATTTTTTTTATAAGTTGTTATTTGGTTTTAATAGATAAAACAGTTTTTATATAGAAATTAATTAGTCTTTGTAAAAAGGGCTGGAAGAATTACAATTTAATAAAAAGTAATAATACATTACAAATGGATACGAGTCCACTTTTCACTACTTGCCATGTCCAATCACTGGGAACAACTATTTCCATCGCAAAGGTTGAGAAAGGCTGTCTCTGCGATGGAAATACTTGTTCCCAGTGATTGGACATGGCAAGTAGTGAAAAGTGGACTTGTATCCATTTGTAATGTATTATTACTTTTTATTAGAAATTAATTAGATTAAATTTAATTTACAATTATCTACATTGCATGAGCACTCATCCAAATAGATAAACCATAATTAAAGATTTTGTATTAACAAAATCAAAGCACAGGTTTAGAAGATACCTTTTGATAATTGTACCAAAAGAGGGAAAAAAAACTCTACTTTTAAACAACAGATTAATTCATTGATTTCAAAACTTGCCATTTTTAATCTATGAAAAAGCAATTATTTATTGTGATATTAATAAATAATTAATTTTTAAAATCATATTTTTGAAATTAATCAATTTTTAATCATATTCTTAAAATATACGTTCTCTATCTCAAATCAGTAGTCTTGTCCCTGTACATCATACTTTTCCTGATAACAACAGAGTCATGGCAGTCATCTATGTAACTCCATTCAAGGAAAAATTTTGGAATTGAATTCATATGACTTCTGGTCTAGACCAAAAGTTCATAATTAGTTAATTGGGACTTCCTGATCCTAAGCTTTCCAAATCTGTACTTGACTTTCTAACACTATTCTTGAGATTGAGGAAGGACAGACAGACAACAGTGAGAATTTATAAGTCTACAATTTCAAAATTGCAACCCAATCAAAGATCATCCAAGAGTCATTCGTAAAATCTAAATAACTTATCTGGACATTATTAATATTCAGAGGCAGAAGATCAAAATTGTTCAATAGTAAGAAACAAACAAAAATTTTTGTAAAATTAAGATCAAGCTTTAGTAAAGATCAATAGATTACATCTGGATCATTTTAAAGTATATTATAATTGCAATTGATTCATTTAAATGATAAAATATGCAAATAATAAGATATTGAAATGTAATAATGAGGATGATAAATAATGGAATTTTTATTAACATAGGTTTTTAAAAATAAGTGCAGACTTTGGCATCATAACTTACTCATATTTTATTTTACCAAGTTAGTCAGTTGTCATAATTTATAGATGTTCAGTATCTTAATACTTCTTAAGTTATTTTGTGTGATCATTTCTTACATATTGTTTCACAACAAAGTGTTACTACAACTTTGAAGAACATAAATTTCCTAAAGTTGAATTGTTATAATTAAAAAAAAGTATTCATAAAAATTCTTTAGGTACAGTTTTAGATTTTTAAATAAGAATAATAAGTCAATTACCATAATATAAATATTGTAAAATTTTTAATTAAAATATTTTAAAATAAAAACTATAAAACTATTCAATTCTTTTAT